GGGGTGCTCTTTTTCACCAGTTAGTTAACTAGTTAACTTAACTTAGTTAGCTTCGTAAAGGCGTAGTCCAAAAACACTTCATAGGAGAAGGACGTCGCCTTCCCTTTCCCCTCTCTGCTCACAGGGATGCACCTAAACTATTGACATTTTCCAGCTAAATGGCAGACAAAACATTACTAATCTTCCCTTCGCTGGAAAGAGAGATAAAACCACAACCATAACCTAAATCAAAAGCTGCTATGACACTTGGGTGGTTGGAGACTTTTACTGCAGATAGCCAGGTCAAAGCCATCAGCATAACATAGCAAACAGAAATATAACTCAGCGCAGCTCTCTACCAAATAGTACTGCAAGGGGGTTAAGTGCACCAGGAAATGACCCTATTAAATACCAGACCTGTAGTTCCAAAATAGCACTAAAAAACAGATGGATGCTCTCATCTTGACTTCTAGCATGCTGGAGTACAAACAGGGAACTGCAATTGCTTAAAATGCTCAAGGAAAGCAAAATAAGGGGTAGGATATATAGCAATGGCTGAGCAGAACAAAGGATGCTAGACCTTCTTCTGTTGAAACCGATGGTGGTCCTTCTGCCCCCTCAGCTGAGCTCATGCCCAAACTTAGGCCTCCTTACAGGCCTTCTGGGTGCCGTAGCCACATGGCAGCCTCATAGGACAAACTTCAGTCCACTAACAGCAGCAGCGAGGCTAAATAACCCCATCAGGCAAACCTGAACTTTACAAAAGTTTGAATGCAGACCTCTTGCATTCAGCCCTTTCTCTATTTAAGAGGACCTTTAACAAGAACTGTGGTGCTTTCTAGTTTGGGGTAGTGCAGTGCTGCCGCCAGTCTAGGGCAGAGGCTTTGAGGCCAGCCAGGAGACCTAGCAAAGAGCAGAAGGAGCCCCCTTAGGCAGGCAGTGGTTGCTCGATGCTCTGAGTGCTTCAGACCCTGCCCCTTCTGCCCCTTGGTTATTCGGCCAGCCAGTGGTATACTGGGGTGGCTGCCTCTACAGCTTGCTCTTCCAACACGCCTGCTGCTGGCCACTATTTTAGAGGGTGCTCCAGGCTTCAGGTAGAGCTTAGACCAACTCAGAGAGGATGTTTGTACATCAGATATGAGGAGCACTGTACTCAACCAGTGGGTTTTTATTAACAAAACAAACATGGCTTGGTTTAGACAGATGGAAATATTCCAGTGAGGCTGTCCGCTCTAGCATAAAAACATCCACTTCTGTCGTTCCACAGTGAGCTGAGCCTGGGAGGGCCGCGAGTGCCCCCAGGGGCACTTCGGAGATGAAAAGTGCATGAATAATCCAGACAGCGATTGTTTCCTTCCTCGGGCTTTCGGCGGAATGCGGTGCCACTGAAAGGCAAGGTAAAAACCACACAAAGAAGGATCACACGAAGGAGGACAAGGAAACCAGCCAGACCAACAACAATAAAATTCCAAATAACATCCTCGAGGCAGTTTTGCAATTGTGAGCATTGCCATGGACCCAGATGCAGCTGCAGGAAACATGGATTTTGGTTTGTTTTCTATCCCATGGCTTGGCATCCAGGCCCTGCAACTAGCAAGTATGATCTCTTACTGAATAGGAGCATAGCCACAGGAGAGGAAAGATTAAGGGTATCAAAGGAATACATTTTTCATTTCACTCCTTTCTTATTACAGTAGATAAAAAAAAAAAAAAAAAGAGTTTTGTTCGGTATTCAATTTTGAGGAGAATTAAATAAGCCAAAAACATTGTTCAGAATTAGAGCACTGAATAAAGGATTTCAAAAACACAGTGTGTGGTTCATGGTAGGATTTTTATTTCCTTTTAAGACAAGCCATATACAGCTGTACATGAGCTATTGTCCTCTGTCCCACTGAAGAAATAGTTTCTTTCTAAAGAGTTCAATCTGTTAAGACACACAGGTACTTTGAAAACTTAAAAAAAGAGAAGGAGACTCACTCAGACTCTCTTCTGGTTCAAATGGCAATTATCTGAAAAGGAGCAAAGAGGCAGGAATACATGGATAAATTAAATAGCTTTTGATTGCCTGGCGATGAATGATAATAGGATTTTTGTCTTCTTTGGGAGTGACACACAGCAGCAAGCAGTATGCACAGGCAGGACCAAAGTCAGCCTTAAAGGACTGGTGCAAAGACATTGCTCTCACAGAGTCTGGGTGGTTATTACAAGCCTGCACAGGAGAAACCACTTTCTTCCCCAGTTGATGGAGAAATACTCCTTGCCATTGAGCCACAAAGGGCCACAGTTTGAAGAAACAGCAACAAAAATACTTTAAAACATACTGATAACTGTGAGTCTAGGGAATCTCTTCTCCTCCTGTTTTGCAGGGACTGTCAAACACCAAGTCTTTCACCATCGTTTTGAGGCTGCCCTAGGACAAAGGCTAAGAAAGGAGGAAGGCTGACAGATCAACTCTTGTTCACAGGCACGCCTTTCAGATTCATCATTCATCAGCTGAAGGAAGGTTTCTCAAAATAAAAAACAGAAACACAGACTGGGCAAGCACAGAGCCCGATGAAACAGAATTGCTGAGCATTTTAGCTTATGTGTGTTGTTGTCTCTCATTGTCCAGAGGATTCCGTGCTCCAGGCAGAGCTGGCAAAACAGACCAGTAAGAAGAGAAGGGCTTGTGTGATGGGGAGCCTGGATAGCCTCAGGAGCTGAGTCTGACTGCACTAAGCTGGGAGTGAGGTTGAAAGCAATTCACAAGGGCCTCGGTGCTGAGATTTCCAGCGCCAACAGCTCTAGTGGCTCAAATTGCCAAATTCCAGCCCATTGGAGCATAAATCAGAACGGCATGGGACTCTAGCCAGTGGCTGGTAGAAAAATGGCAGCAGACATCCTCCTTGAAACTTCTGAAGTTAACTGTCTCATTGCTCTGACAGGTTACCATTAGGTATGGGAAGGAAAACAGAAACACACAACAGTCAACCAAAAAAATAATGATCCCCAAACCCCACCTATAAGTATTTTCTAAGAGAAGTCAGTGGATTTGAAAAAGTCAAAGACAAGGCAGTCTTTCCTCACGATCACATTCTTTAGGAAGTCTTCAGAGGACTACTGTGCTTAGGTACAAATGGGAAATCTGACTAGAACCTTACTACAGCATGGTGAATCGAGGTGTTGCAGCCACAGGAAACGGGAAAAAATGTTTGGTCACAAACAGAGATTTTAGGCCAAGTAGGTCCATACTACCAGGGCATAATGAGGCTGAAAACAGTTTTGTTAGTAACATGGCTTGGGCACCTGGAACAGTAAAGGACTGACCACAAAAACCTCATCAGTGCTGGTAAGTCCAGGACAGCTGAAATTCAAGCTCCGAGCCATTTCAAAAATCTTTACACAGATGGTTAAAAAATTGCCCATGTTAACAAGAGTTTGGGAATTTGTGAATGCATGAATTCCAATTTGAGCTTCTTAATTCCCTGTATGTTTTTTTTGTTTATAGCGATGGCTCTGCTGCTGTTCAGAAGGGTGCCAGAAAAGCCAGTTTTAGGGAGTGCGAGTAAACAGCTCAGTCCGAGCAGGCTGACCACGCATCCAACGCAGCAGCCGGCAAAATGGGGAGGCTTGAGTATGGCTGTGGCAGATGGATGATAAAAACCACCCTGAGGAAGTGCTGTGCCTCACATATACAAGGTAGCTGATGTCCCTTCCAACAAGAAGTTGTTGCCCATAAATTGATAGAACGTAGAGGTGAAAAAAGACCTAGGAAGGTGTCAGAGGGAAACTTGGCACTGAGGAAAGAGTGAGCTCCTGTTTGCGTTACTCAGCATTGGGCAAGCAGAGGTATGGACCACGTCCCGGTACCTGAGATCCCGCCTTGCAGTTTGCAGTTGGGGAAACAAGGAACAACAAGGAAACAAGGCTGAACCCAGCGATGGGACTCAGACCTGCCCATGGTGGCTGACAGCCTGCACCCAGCCCTGAACTACGGCTGGTAGATGTCCAAGCACGGGAGCTTTGTTCCCAGCCAGCACCGAGGCTCCCATTATGCAGAGGGAAGGTTCTGGTGCTCCAAGAAGAGCCCCACAGAGGGGCTGTGAGGGGATAAAAGGGAGGGAGACCCCCGGTGGGCTTTTTTCTTTTATCTTGTAGATGAACCAGATGGCAGGAATAGCAGAAACCAAAGGAGGAGCACGAAGCCTTTAAGAATCAGATTGCTAAAATGCAGGGAAAACTGAAGCCAAAAACTAGGTCTGGACAAAGCAGAGCGCCAGAGTGGAAAAACAAGCACTGGAGGAGCTTAGCCAAAAGGAGAAAGAATAAAATAAAACATCCCAGTTCTTCGATTCAAAGTCCAGCTCTGTGCTTTTGGGGGAGGAGACAGAGGAACTGAAGAAGGGGTTTGAGGCTCCTTTGTAGCTGCAGCTGCTTGCAGTTATCGGCCCCCATGCTTCGTCAGACAGCGGAGAAAGCCTGCAAATCTCCCCCAGGGTGTGAAAAAAGGGCAAGTGTCATGAAGAGTGCCCACGGATCCACCACACAACTCACACACCCCAGCAGACACATGCACGGGTAGCCCGAGCAGGAAGGATTTTGGCACAGCCCTGCCGTAGCCCACAGCAGCTTGTGATTGCCTGCAGCTGCTCTGCATCAAGTCAGGTGATGCCGGGGGCACGGCACGGCCCCTCTGGAAGCCCTGCTTCCCCAAGCAGGGCTCTCTGGTCTCTCTGGAGGGATGCCACCGAGCCTGCATTTTATTTGACTTTCAGATCCCAAGGCGGATTTCCATCAGGCAAGAAGACCTTGCTACGGGATGTTGCAATGCATCCTCCCTTCTCAAGAGTACTCTCATTTTTCAGGGCAAGTGCCCATAACAAGGGCCTGATGTCAGACACAGCAGCTGCAAAATGCGCTGCGCTCTTCCATTACCGACCGCAGACTGCTGGACGCTGCTGCTCCACCACCCCCAGAGGAAGAACTGGAAGCCCCTTTTAACACCCACCCCCCGGTTTCAGTAAAGATCCCATGACACTTTGTGGAAAAAAAAACAATGTTGTATTTGATTTACAATTAACAGGATTTACAAATAAAGACAAAGAAACAGATTAGCCATGAAATTAGGATGCCTTTGTTGATGAAGGAATAGCTGGCAAAGCACCTTTATGCAGCAGTAATGTACCTCCGTCCTAAACAGTGTAAAATAACTTATGGCCCAGGCAGGTTCAGGAATGATTATACACAAATACAAGAAATTCAAAACAAAATGAAACAAAACAAAACAACCATAAACCAACAAACCGAAAAACCCTCCCAGCCTTGTACTAGTTCTGGTGAGGCTTTCGATTTTTGGAAACTGAAGGAAAGGTCCGCTCACAAACATCAGGAACTTTCCAAAAAGTACTAAAAATAAAAAAATCAACAATGGCGAAGCCGATTGTATGGCAACCTGCTGGGCACGGCAGCGGGCGGCAGGAGCTGTGTTAGCTTGCTGAGGATAAGCAGTGGCCAGGCGCTCAGCGGAACAAGGAATGAACTTGTACAGATGGCAGCGCTTCGTTAAAATGCTACGTTACTGCCAAAAGTCGTGAGACAAAAAGGAATAAAGTCCTCTGATGTGCAATACAGCAATTGAAGAAGACGTACCTAACTTTCTGATTTGTATGTAGCTTACCTATATTGTAAACGCACTCTTTCAGACAAGATATTTAAATTTTCTTTGCTATGGGTTATGGTTTGTGTTTGATCAAATGCAGCATTCCAAGGCTCAAAATTGACTGAGTGGTTTTCATTACATGGGTATATGATTTTTTCCAATATCATACTAGTATTTTACATCACAAATACAATAGAAACAAGTGATGGTATTTCTAGGACAGTTCCAAGATTCAAAAAAAAAATCATCAGAACCATTCTAAAATAAGATATTATACAGAATCAAATCATGTTAAACAGCACACTCTCGGCAAGCAGCTAATTACAAGCATTCTGCTGGTCATGTTTTTCACACAAAAGTCATTCAATAGCACATAAATATTTCTTTTTCCGATCTGCTTCTTTTTACAAAACCATTCATCAGATTCACAGAATTAGTACAAGTAAGGCACATTAGCATATATCATAAAACTCACAATAATAACAAAGAGTTGTAAAGATTTAAGGACTAATTCTCCATTACAGTGGTTTCTGAACCAAATGAGACTTCATCAGTAGAACCCTCCTTACAGGCATGACATTGCTTTTGTTTCTGCCAGCTGTGGTGGGTGCAATTCTGTGCATTACCATGGACATAAATAATTAACCTAAGAACCATGTGTGGTAGCAAATCCCATTTGCGGACCTCGCGGAGAAATGAGACGCATCGTTTACTACGTTCATGATGAGCACAGATGAAGTTTTGGAACTATGTGGACATCAATTTCCAGTTATCGAAACAAAGGGGATATTGCATGGTTCTCTGAATATGCCATTATTTTCCTAGTACAAATATTGCTTAAAATATAGAGGATGCTATAGTATTGAATTTACTTGCATAATGTAAATGCTGATGTCTCGGATCCTACGAAATTAAACGAACTACAGACTTGCTTTCTTCCACCCCCCACCCTGCCCCCAGCCAAAGGATTTTCTTTCCCACAGAAGATTCATTTACACACAACACAGATTTTAATTAGAAGCATAATTTACATTAAAAATTTTTACATTACACCTCTGCTATCAAAAAAACATGAACTTTTTCATTTAAAGTTGTAATTATACATTAAAAAATAGAACACTATTTCCTTAATAGGAACAATGAATTTGAACATCTTTAGATCAGATTTCTTTATTGCGGCTTTTGAGTCAAAGGTCAGTCACTTTATTCTCTAATGCAGCTGCTATTTGCTGTAAACGGAAGGCAAGCTGCATTTTTTGTGCAGCTGGATCCTCTTCAAGTGCATTTATAATCTGGAAGAAATAAACACAGAATGTTTAGAATCATTTAGCTTAAAATATATGACACCATTCCCAGACCAAGTGTTTGATACTGCTTTGGTTTTCCAGCCTTTTGCATTCACTCTGCACCAAAGATAAAGTCCATCTATGAGGCTCCATGCTGTATTTTTACATGAAGACAATAAAAATGATCGTCTCCATTACTTTATCTAAGTTACTACGATGTTTCCCATTATGCCAGGATTCAAGCAAATTAATAGGTAGTACTTTATCTTTTGAAATATTACGTTGCAAGGTGGAGCAGGCAGGGGGAAAACGTCAGAAGCATTGACTTTACAGCTATGTAAGGAGCTGTGGTTTTACTTACAGCACACCCTACAAGGCTTAAGGGTCATTTACCAGCAGTAACTAAGCCCCATCCCCATGAGCTTTGGTTATGAGCACCTCCTGGGTGGTCCACGCATGGGCATAGCTCAGAGCAAGGAAAAGTCTTGTCTGTCCATAGGCAATATATTGAAGAAAATGGACTGGTCACAGTGTCAGGGAGCTTCTTGAGGTAGAGCTGAGACCCTGGGCTGGTAGAACATAGCTCAGGAAGCAAACAGCTCATCAGAGGAGCCCCCCAACATCCTGCACACAGTCTCTGCTGTACGGAATATATACAGCAAAGTATGACTCTAAGACACCAGGGATTTTAAAATGAAAGCTAGAAAAGGTCAACTGTTATGAGAAGGCTTTTCTTCAAATAGAGTTTTTTAGGGCTTCTCAAGATCAAATTTCAAAGGTTTTGAAAGGTTTTCATTCCTACCATCCTTCAGGGAAACTTTTCCACCAACTATTAGATTTCTCCATTAGGAGAATGTATTACATGGCAAAACTGTTCTTTTGCTAGAACTGGCTTTATTAATAAAAGTCAGATGCTGTCATCAAGCAGAAGGCTTTACCTATGCTTAAATACTACCTAAAGTTTGCAAGTACAAGAACTGGAGAAATTGAGTCTGCCTGTCGTTACCTGTGGTTCTCACTGCTTTACTGACAACGGAGGTTAATGCAGTCAGTATCAATCTAGCTAACAATTTCCCTTCTGAGGACTGGTACAGCATTAGAGTTTCAAACAGTGGAGCAAATTTGTTTAGAAATCATTGACTTAATGGATTTGTTTTTAGAGCATGAAAACATTTTTACAAGACAGTTAATAAACTCTTATTACAGTATTTAAATAGGGCCTAATTTAATTTGATATTGTTCCCTTCATTTAAACAATTATACCTAGCTGTAACGCCTCAAATCAAGACTAAATAATTCATGATTATCTCTGCTGGTGAATATAACTTTCATATAAATGTGGACAATTAGAGCGTACCCACTTAGTCATTGTCAAGCCCTGCAGAGCTGTGCAAGGTACAGCGCATGCTGGCAACCACCATTTCAGCAACGAAGATAAGGGCAGCCGCAAAATGTTCCAATTTATGCAAATTAAAACATTTTTACGGAAAATAAATAAGCTTGATTTATTTTACTGAATGGTTCTTGACGCATTATCTCCCCAACTCTGAATTAGCAGCCTTTCGATCAGATGCATCTTGCTGTTATATGGTGATGTATGCAAAAGGAAGGGCTGCAGTTCTGCTTTGTGGTTTGCTGGCTTGCCACTGATCAGCTCTGACAGCTGAGCAGAGAGGAGGCTCTGCCTGTGCCTGCCTCCAAACGTGAGAATGCAGAAGCCATGACTGGGTGCAGGGACAGGGGAGTATGGAAGAAGCAGGAATTTATGGTTCGTCTGTCTCACAGGTTGCTTGAGTGCTTCTACAACAGGTCAGGCCACAGAGATCACAGAATGGTTTGGGTTGGAAGGAATCAAAAAGACCACCTGGTTCAACCCCCCTGCCATGGGCAGGGAACCTCCCACCAGCCCAGGTTGCTCAAAGCCCCATCCAGCCTGGCCGTGAACACTTCCAGGGACAGGGCATCCACAGCTTCTCAGGGCAACCTCTTGCAGTGCCTCACCACCCTCACAGTAAAGGATTTATTCTGAATATCTTATCTAAAACTATGTCTTTCAATTTAAAACCACTCCCCCTTGTCCCATCACTACACTCCCTGGTACAGTCTCCCCCCAGCTTTCCTGTAGGCCGCCTTTAGGTACGGAAAGGCTGCAATGAGGTCTCCCCAGAGCCTTCTCCTCTCCAGGCTGAACAACCCCAGCTTTCTCAGCCCGTCTTTGTAGGAGAGGTGATCCAGCCCTCTGATCATCCTTGTGGCTCTGCTCTGGACCCGCTCTAACAGGTCTATGACTTTCTTGTGCTGGAGGCCCCAGAGCTGGATACAGCACTGTGGGTGCAATCTCACAGGAGAGGAGCAGAGGGGGAGAATCACTTCCCTTAACCTTCAGGCCACACTTCTTCTGATGCAGCCAAGGATATGGGTGGCTTTTTGCAGATATTCTGGAACATGTTGAAAATAAATTTCCTCAGCTCTGGGGATGAGGAAACCAACACCATCAGTTTGGCCCGTGTTTCTCCAGTCATTTTTCCTACTAATACCAAATGAAAGTAGTCTCAGGATGAGCTGGTTTTCCTTGCTTACATCTGTATTTAAAGCTGTGAAAAGCTGGCTGCTCCTGCAGAAAGCAGCTGCAGTGAAGCTGCAGATGAGACTCACTGCCTTTGCTGCTAAATATAAGTGAAAACAAAAACTGTGCTGAGGTGCAGGACCAACTGAAGAGAGCTCACATGTGCTGTACTCCTTTTTTTGATTCAGCATCTGTTCTTACTTGCTTTGATTTAATTCTGAGAGTTTTCTGGAGGCATTCATTTCCATGGAAACCTTTGAATAAAAGTTTCCTTCTCTCTTTTTGTTTTCAGATTAAGATCGGAGAGCCACAGCCACAGCCCAGCAACACTGGGATATTCTTTGTCCCCCTTTCCACAGGGCCTGAAGAATCCAAGAAACACTTTGGGCTGAATCTGTAAGCTTCCTTTTGAATCTGACTATACTCAGCAGTTGCTCTGCTTGGGTTTACCTTGGGCAGGCACTTCATTTGGCACAGCAAAATGGGGACGGCAGCATGCATGGAAGTTTTAAGTGCATCTTAACTAATAAAAAAAGGCAATGCCCCATTCCTACAAGCAAAACAAGTTTAATGGATTGTTCCTAAAAATCCCCACCAAACTACTGGCTTGAAACCTTATATAGCTCTGGCAATTGCTCGGTGACATTCTAATGTCCTAATTCTTAGGCATTAGGATAGCAGAACTGAAGAGAAAGGATTTTTAAATCTATTTCTCTTTCAGATCTCATTAAGCGATCACTACCAAAATGAGATAACCCATAGTGAAGCTGTTCATTTCTAAGAATATACCCTTAGGCAGTGTAATTGCCAAGGAAGGCGTGTAACAGCGAAGTTAGAGCTTTCTGTTCAGCGCTGCTTTTACCTGATTATCCAGGGAAAGTTAGCTTTTATAACTTTTTACTATAATTATATTAAAAAAAAAGAAAAGAAACCCCACAACTTACCTCATCATAGTATTTGTTAGTGTACTGGTAGAGTTGGTGTAGAGCCACGAGTGTGTTTAAGGAATCGGTATGTGCCTGTTAAACAACACGTGTAAGCAACAAACATCAAAATTTCATCACAACTGAAAGTTACACACATGAATGACTGCCGCATACAGCACACAGTCCCATTGTCAAATTCAAGCTCTGCATCCTGTAACTCTTGCTAAGTGATGCTGGGGCAGAAAAAGGGGTGAGAAAACTTTTGTTTGGTGGTTTTTAGATCTAGCTTTTCCCACTGGTGTTTTTCTGGCCTGTCTGCAGCTCTAGCACAGGAGGTGGAAAGTATTTTGAACTTTGAATGTCAAACCACAGATTACAGCTGTAACATCTGTTAACAACATGGGTACGTATAACTAAAGCATTCAGTCAGTACAATCTACATATTGCTGAGATACTAAACATTGGTTCTGTCACTGCCACGTCTGTTTGAAATCATTTCTTCAGCTCTGTAACTGTTTGAAATTATTCACACCTCACTATGGGGAAGGTGTAACTCATCGAGATAGTAAGCACATGTACATTTGGAAAAAGCCATTTGAATCATGACGATGGAAAGGGGGGCGGGGGGAAAGAAAGGGAGAAAGAGAGGAGAGGGACTTCCAATGATGCAAGAAATAACCCTTCCATTACCTCTCCTTTCATTCTCCCCATGACATTTAACTTGTGTAGCAAATGTGCTCTGACTGTCTAAAGAGATGTTTCTCATTCAAATGTATAGGATTCAACTAGAGAGCTATGCCTTTAGTTTTTTAAATTAGTTAAGAAAATGAAGAATTGCAAAATACTGCTACTGGCACAAATGATTATCCAAGTTGTAAACAAGCAGAGAAACAATCCATCTTTCTTTTTCCTACAATAGTCACTTCCAGAGCAGGTCAAAATTTGCAGTGTTCCATCAGTCCTTTCCTACTTACTTCTGTCATAATTTGCAATGTAAATAGAAAGGATCAACATATTCTGCTGATTTTAAAACATTCCTTTGATTTTATTTTTAATGACCAAACATTTTAATTTTACATACATCTCAATTTTTATAATAAATAAAATGAACTGGAAAATGAAATGTCACTGCAGATGAGTTTCATAGTGACTGAATGAAAATAGAAACATCCTCATGAGGACATTAATCTGCAAAATGTTAGGTCCTAAGGGCACTGAAATAAACAAATCACAAGAATTCCCCAAACATCCTTGTACTACTAGGACTCTTAAAATAAACTAGGCAAATGAGCAAACCAGCCAGTACATACAGTATCTCTTTGCTCAGGCTAAACACTTTCCTTTCAGACTGGCGAGAGCTTCTGCAGGTTCTCTGGGTTAAATCGAGTGCTTTGAAGGCACAAGCCTGCTCTAGCTAAGCTGAGCAGCACAGCAGACAGGCTTTTTCAAGAATGAAGCAGGTTTTGTAGTGTCTTTGCTCCCCGAGTCTAAAACCAGAGCCCCCAGCTACCAATAAACCCCCTCTGCTCCCCTCCATCACAGGTAACCCCCAGTAACCTATACTGTGAAAAGAAGAAGTGCCTATAGAGCAGGCATATGATGAGCTTCTTGTGTGCAGTGTAAAGCAGAAGTATTATCCTCATACAGACAGCTCTAAAATGCACTATATGTAACGTGTGCGATTTCCCTTTCATTTCTGGAGTCAAATTGTTGCTGTGATAGCAGTCTGAATTCAGCCACCACTTGTTATCAGCATGATCAATGCTAAAAACCCTCTCTGTGCTGTGGAGAGAAAACACCTTTCAGCAGTGTTGTAATTTTTCCACAATGGATGTGAAAAAATTCAAACACTTTGCTCTGGCACCTACATCACTCAGAGATTCGTGACGATAGCCATTCTTGGTTCCATTCAATAATCAACACTTCAAAAGGCTAAAAAGCACTACACTAAGCAGGAATCTTTCAGAGATGTATTAAATAACTCATTTGATGCTTCAACATACAATAAACCCACTTGTCGAGTTAGAATGAGAAGGCAAACAGTGCTATACTTGGCTTCAATTTCAGGACAAGGAAACTTAATTTATTCTTACCCTAGAAATCTCTGCTAAATGGGTATTCATATCTTGGTCACTAACTGGCACCATCTGACGAATGCCTTTGTAGTAACTGCAACAAATTAAAACAAACTGTCAGTTGGTGAAATACACAAAATTTTCATTTTGCATTTATTTTAAACATGCTTCCTAATTGTGCAGGAGATGTTCCACCGCAACAGACCAATGATTCATTTAGTCATGCTGTCTCCCAGCAGTCATTAGTACTTGATACCCTTGCAAGAAAGGCAAATCACACCTGATTGCACAGGACCACAACAAAGGAAAGAAATCTATTTATAATCCAGCTGATGATTATTTCATTTCTTCAAACTTTTCAAGTCATCAGCTGGGAAGAGTTGAGTCCTGTAGCGGACCTTCAGTGGTACTGACAGAATTCCCAAATCAGTAAATGTTGAAGTCAGAGTCTGAATAGAAAAAATGTCTCTGTGAAAATGTTTTCAGGATTTGATCCCTATTCAGTTATGGAAGTGCAGTGCTGGATAGACAGATCATGGGTAAGAACAGCTGTCATGCAGAACAGCATTGTGTTCTTTCCCAGATAACTCTGTCCATCTGCTGGCATAGAGATGGACACGCATTGGGTCACAATGTCACTCCATGTCAACACTGTGAACACCACTGACAAGGGAATGTTTTAATGTTCAGGTGTAAAATTTTTAACATTTGGCAGTTGACTTCAACTGTGTCAGCATTCACTTTTCCTGTTACTAAGTACATTTACAAAGGCTTAAAACCCTAACAGCTCTCAATCAGCATGAAAAAAGTCTCTTTATACTTACTCTTCCACCATTTTCTTATAGTTAGAGATTTCTTTCGCGTAAAGTAATTTATTACTTGGAGAATCCTGAAAAAATATAATAGAGAGAAACTTGGTTGATTTATGAATGTCTCTAAGAAAAAAGCATGAAGTCAAGAACTCAAGATCAAGCCTTCCTAATCACATGTACTTGAGTTTTGTGGATATTAACATTTTGATGCTTACTATTAATATTATTTGTCCTAAAAAGATGAAGTTTACATACGGCACTATTTGTCAAGTTTGACAAATATATCAATGGAGGATGATTCTAAATTACGGTGGATGTGAAATAACTATTTCTTAAACTTGTTTTTTATAAAAGCAGTTGATATTTTCTGCTTTTTAGGAACTCAGTTGGCAGACTACACAGTAACAATGACATGCTCACCAACCTGCTAAGTGGTGAAATGCTAACTTCATTATAAAACCAAAAGGAAACTATCAATGCTGTATCTTCTTAGAGAATGGGTATTGTTTTAGGACAATGCCCCGTGTCTTGTCAGGCATGAAAATAGTCAGGATGTAGAATGCAAATCACTTACTCTGCTTAATTTGTGCTCTGTTCTCGTGCAAGCATCCATGAAAGTCTGTGCAATGACTGACAAGGAAGCATCCACTACTTCGTGAACATGAACATCAAAGATGAAATGGGGATTTTTCAGTATGTTTACCCAGAATCTAAGAGGCAAGCTGCAAAGCAAGGAAAAAGGTAAGAAAAAAACACCTTTTACACAATAAATGTTATACAACAAGCAAAGCACATGAAATTAAATATGGATTTTGCGTTTTGATCTTCTCACTACAGTGAAACTTAATTTTATATTTCAACAATTACCCAAGCTATCTTTTGTCTGGTTTTCATGTCTGGAAATGAAGCCTTTGTATCTCTCACAGAGAAACGAGAAAAGCTTATTTGAGAAGAATCCTAAGTGTCCCCAAACAGCAAGAGAAGATGTCTGAGTGGTTAGAAAAACTACCTGAGTAACATTTTATTAGATTTTGTGCTTTGACAGGTAAATCTAGTCTCTTTTGCTTCTTGCTTTCCTATTCTCTGAGGAAAGATGAAAAGCAAAGAGGTAAATCTGCCAACGGTTATCCCATAAGTAGGTATCATTTTTTGCAACTTCCAGACTTACAGGGAATCCTTTTGATCATATGAACATATTATCTCAATTAAAATGATTCTGAGAATTACAAATGAAATTTACTTTGATTAGTGGTAAGAGTGACAGAACATACCTGGGAACTACGGTCTCATTTCCCTGCAATGTAATTATTACTCTGTTCATACCTGTTTGTTTTCCAGATGTGAATGGTATCTTCATCCTTGATGTCATGTTTTTCTGCTTGTTCATCAAGAAAATCAAAGAAGTATTTCACAGCTGGTGGCACCACATGGTTTGAGTTGAGCACACTATGAAAGAAGTTATCTACAAACTGCTGAAGTGTTCCCTAAAAGTGAATTTAAGAGAAATTTGCATTACAAGCTGAACTGAGTGCTATCCTAGACCCTTTTTTCCTTCAGTCCAGTTGCAGTTACTGAAGGTCATCAATGCTGAGTGCCAGGTGATGCAGGGTGCCAAGTGACAAAAAACCAAACAAACAACTTCTTAATGAATTGACTTTGCAAACAGCCCAAACAATAAAAAACTTCTAGAGAACAACTTTATGTTCTAGTCTGAAAGGCTCCGACTTCATCCATTACCATCATGCGGTTAACATGGAAAGCTGTGCTTTCTGCCTGACTAAAGCAGCAGAACCTGATTCCTGCAATAGATTTACAATTCAAGCTCATTGCACACATAAATAATTGCTAAAAATTTTGTAATTGTTTTGCAGTTTCCCAGCTCTAGAGCATCATGCACCACTACAGCATAGACTGAGAGGAAGAAGCACCAGTGACCATTTGACCTGTTGCGCAGGGGAAAACACTTGGGTCTCATCAGATGCCCATCCTGGTCCAGCTCCATGAGCTCCACCAAATGTGAAGGATGAAGCATCCCTGGGAGGACTGCATTTTTGTCAGGATCCCTGAACCTGCCAGGACCTTAAAGACCATGACCTCGAAGACTGTCCCTTTGTGAAGGGTGCAGTCTTCTCTTTCTCTTCTTCTCTTTCCCAATTAGAAGATGACCTTGTTGAGGCCACATGCAGTCCATCCCCACTCAGCTGGTTGGCCCTATGGACATGTTTGAAGGGCTGCATCTTCTCTCTCTCCATCACTCCAGCTGCCAGCCCCAAAATGGGGCAGGGACTGAGCCCTAAACCCCTGTGCTGGCAGTGCGGGCAGGGAGGACAGTTCAGGGTCCTGGGCTGTATGGGCAGCTGTGGTACCAGTCATTGTACCTCACCAGCTCTGTACAAGTTAGTAAAGCTCCAGATTGGCAATGATCTACCAACTGACTATTGGGAATAGAAAAGGGATTTGTTAACAGAAGAGAGGGATACATGCATCTTGCTGGCTGCAAGTCTGTGGCATCCATACACAGACTTTCCTTCAGGTCCACTTTCACACTTGGTCAAATGGCCTTAGCTGGAGTCAGGTCACTCCCATTTTCATGAAGAACTTGGTCTTGGTCATTAAGCACATTATCCTAAGCTCCTTCTGCAAGGAGGAATCCTTAGCATAATTATTTTGGTTGTGATCCATTCTGCAGTATAAACACTAAAAATACTCTCAAAGGACTATTACCATTTGAAAACATTTTTACTATTTTTCTAGATAATACTGCAGCACTGGAAACAAAGAATGGGGAAACAAAAGGCTCTGTAGCAGTATGTAAAGCATTTGGTTTAAAATAAAAACCTGCAGAATATTATTTAAACAGGTGGCACAGAAGAGAATATCCATCTTTGTCTTGCAAGAAAAATCCTCATTTAGCTAACTCAGAATTATGGTTCTCAGCTTTCATCTGGAGTTAAAATTTATCTCTTTCCCAGCAATGTTCTTGAGGGCATATTAATCACTTGAAGCTCTGAACACAAGCTTGCATGTACATGACAGAGAAAAATTTTAGCCAAAAGCATGACTAATATTTGCATCATTTTCTTTGGTAACACGTCAAAATCTATAGGGGCACAGTGTAACTGTGACATCTGACCCTTACCTTCACAGACAGAAGTCTTGTCAGGTAGATTTCTGTAATAGCTTTGGTTCTCTCTTTTTCTTTCACACTGCCTCGCTTTGATTTGCCTTCATCAATTTCATCTACTGGCCGAACTAGATGCCAGACCTTATTTTCATCTTCCAGAAGTGCATGCCCTAGAAACAGTAATTGCAATAATTACAAAAAACTCTCCCCTGAAAATAATTATGAAATAATCATGCACATCAGTACCTGTAAGACCCTTGCACTCTATCCTTAACTTACCTTTCTTTTTGCCAAGAAGACCTAGATTACTTAGTTCCCCTCTAACAACCCAAGAACTTAATTTTCATTAATACGCAAGTATTGCTTTATGTTACAAGAGGAGCACTGAAGTAGGGTTGTGGCTTGCTTTTGTTAAGAACAAAAAGGAGAGGAAGTAAGTATACAATAAGGAAACTCCTCTTCAGTCGTGCAAGCACAGTATGCATGTTTTTTTGAGATATACACAGTGAAATACTCTACCCCTTGGTGAACAAGATCAAGCTACAGAAACTGAGCTAGGTCTGACCCAACAGCCCCCATGGAAAGGACAGTCTTAGCCTGCTCTGGGTACAACACATGGTATTGTAGAAGCTCTGATGAATTTGGCAGTGGGAAATTCACTTGTTCTTCCTTTAAATCCTGAAGTATGTGTTAATATATCTGCTTGGCATAATCCCAAAAAGTCAACAGTGCTTTTCCAGTCGAGGTTACTGAATCAGTGCATTTAAAATCATTGATGTTTTAAAAACATGGAAGTTATTTTTCCCATAATTTTTCCCATAAAAATTGTGATTCAGCCCTCTTACACAAATTATTTTGCAATACTGCTCAGTTTTATGCATTAATATATGTGTATAATGTAACTGAATTACAGTTACTGTGGAGAAATATCAGTTTCTAATTGCACAAATTTTGTCCTTTCAAACTTTTGACCACAGTAGTTTATTAACTAAGTTCCTCAACATCTACATTAAATTAACCAGATGTGTGTTAAATATTTGATATCATAGAAGAAAATAACATTAATATGTAATCTGGCCAAGGCAACACTTCCACATGAATCTGTTTCATATATTCTCATGGAAAGCATAAGCTATGCAGGCTTCTGGTGCCTTTACTTCCTATTGACCAGGTAGATCTTTTAGCCAAGGAAAAATGAGATATTTAATGCTGTTGTCCTTTGGAAGTCCTTAATTTGACTTGGAAGTTCATGTGCATGAAGTAAGAAAGAAATAAAAGCTATCATTTTATTTTGAAGCAGCTGTGATTTCACAATTGATGCCATTCATAACAACTGTTTGCCAGTGCAGTAAGAACTGCTGATGGGCCTGAAGTTTGAAGTCTCTTTTGCAATGCCTGTTATTTGCTCTTGTGAATAAGTGGATGAAATCACACAGTAAGAGAAGAAACTAAACCATGTCAGTTGTTTGGTACACTTCTTCTTCCTCCTGTGATTCAAAGGAATTCATCCTCTCTTTGCCCTGCTGATGGTGCGTGGCCTGATTTAACTTTGCAGTAAAGAGAAGAAACCAAAGGGGATTCCACCAAGGTTACTTGCCCTTACATATGGCTTAATTTGGTGTGTTTGTTCAGCAACAGCAGAATTGGCTACTAGTGAAACGATAGCTATTTGATAGGAAAGTATGGCGTAAAGGGAATGCAGCTCAACCAGATGAACTTTTTGCAAAACAAAGATCCCAGTTCATTGCTAAAAATAGCAGCAAGAAAGAGGAAGAGAAATGCAGAAGAGGGGGCAACGAGACGTATTAGCAGCACATTGCTAGGAGGAGACCAGACTTCACCGAGATAACATCTTCCTAGTGGAAACCTATGGGGCGAAGGAAGTAAAATATAGGGGAGAACATTATCTTTTGTGGTTGTAGTAGCCACAAGATGCATCAAGCTGTACATGGAGAGGACTGCACCCACTGGGTCAAATGCTTCCCCCTGAATGCTTCCTGCCCCTCATGCATTTTTTGGCTGATATAAGATGGCACGAACCAGGTGGGGACATGGCGGAGGCCAGTTGGCTGGTGGTGACCAGCGTGGTCCCCTCCTGCTGCATGGCCTGCAGCAAGCTCGCTCCATCCTCCCCTGAGAACATGCTGCTGCTCTGGGTGGGTGGAGGAAGGGCTGTCCTACACACATCTGCTAATCAGTATTTCTGATCTGCAGCCCTCTGGCTATTCCACATCAGAATAACTGAAAAAAAGAAAGAAAAAAAGCCACGACACCAACCCCTTCACAAAAAAAACAAAACAGAAAGAAACACCCAGAAAAAGTTTTCAACAGAACACACTGCATTGGCTTATAGTTCAGTACAGAAATCCTAGCATAAAATCATTGAAACCATTCTCCATCTTGATACAAATTAGTAATTGCATTTATTATCTCCAGAAGCAAAGGATTCTGCATTTAATTTGTCACAACTGCCAGCTTCCAGTGTCTTCCTGTTAGAAGCTGTGAATCAAAAGCAGCATGGAAGCAATGCCAGGTTTTAGAGCAACATCTCTGAACATGGTTTTACATTTTCGTTCTGTGCAAAGCCTAGTGCTTTGGCAGACAGTCAATGGCTTCAGCTGACATTTCTCAATGCAAAAGGTGCAAGTTAATGAGAGACTGGATAAAAGGAAAACCACTTCGTCACAAGCCTTATTCATAGAGCAGAGATAGGATTTCTATTTATTCCAGCCCTGTAAATCCCTGTGTCATATAAATGCGTATGTGTGGGAGGGAAAGCCTCTGATCCTCTCCTCTGCCTTTTATACACATAGCATCTCACAAATCACTGTCGCTGTGGGCTCTTGCTTTGCACTAGCTCTGTAACATTTTATAGCTTTCTGAAAGAACAAGTTGGCACCAACTGGCTCTGAAGACCCTTAGGCGTTAAAGAAAATGGGCTAGCCTGGCACGAAATGCCGTCTTCCCAAATTTGTACATCACCACTGCACAAGACAGGGTGTGGAGAAGAAACAAGGTGGAAGCTGTCTTCACTCCATGCTTTGGGATCTGAGCTGTCTCTACAGATATTTTTCCTTCATGTATGAGAACCCTCATGTGACAGCACTGTCCCCAGAAGACTGCTTCTCCTTTACAATGTCATATGCCACACATACAGCTAAGGAGTCTGCCCATCTTGGAGTATAGATCACATGTGTTCAAAGAGCTTCACTATACTGAATAGCTAAAGATGCATTTGTAGAGAAGAAAAAAAGAGGAAAAAAAAAACACAAATAAAAACACTTAATCTGGTCCTCTGCTCTCTCACACAAAGGTGTGGGGAGGATGGAAGACTGGGAACCCACATCTGGAGACTGATCACCTCTTGGTGTTAAGAAGGGAAAGCAAGCTGAGGACACCATCAGGCTCCATCCACTGGTCTACTTCTTCAGAGTGGAGGTGACTACCACCTGCAGTTATCTCAGCAATCAATGCAACTGAACTGAAGACAGACTAGGAATGGACTCCTCACCTTGCTGTACTTCATTGCTCCCTGTATTAAGCTGAAAGTTTTATAAAGTGAAAAATCTATGTTGGCACCTGCTGTGATAGAGGAATAGCCACCACTTTTGCAATTAAAGCAAACTCCTGCAGCTATGTGGTGAGAAGATATCAGCAGAAGCATAGCCATGATTGTTGGGAGAGAACCTTAAAGGATGCTGGCAGAAGTTTTGACAGGAAGCATCCGGGAGGAAAGACTAAAAAATAAATGGCAAGCAATTCAGCCTGTCCTGATTTCCTGGCCAACACTCAGCACTAATGAAACGGAAATCTGCACACTTGTTAAATACCAATAATACACGTCAGAGCTATCAGCTGAGAGCCATCTCCTTGAAAAAATGTACATTTCTGGTATATCATTTCCAATCTGACTGCTGAGTATTTGGAACCCATTCAATCTAAGATCGCTAAATCTGTTTAAAGGAATGAAACTATTAGGTGAACCAATCGCTTTTGCAATCGATGCTAGACAGAGAAGTATATCAAATGGGTTCATGAAACGAAGAATGATCTCAACAATTATCATTCCATAAATCTAATTTCCAACTCATAAAATAACTGAATGTAAGGATAAAAATAAGAGAAATTGAACATCTAAAATGTAAAGGAAATCATGTGACAAAGAACACAAATTTACAAGTAAATATTTCCATTAAAATCTGAGCGCATTTTAGGCTGGAATGGATATTGTGTTTCATGAGATTGTGAGATAAAGGAAATTGGTCTAGACGGAGTACCGACGCAGGGAACTAAAAGCTTTGAAAGACAGGTTCTAAGCTAACATGCTGTCTCCAGCATTGAGAAGTCCAGCTTATTGTAGCAAGCAGCAGTATTAGGATTAAGTAACAGCTGTATTAGTGACATGAAAGAGAGGAAGCATTATAAGGTAGTTCCTGATACTACCTTACAGTGGATTGAAAACCTTGAAACAAAGAAATCAGGGAAAACATTGAATCTAAAGAGGTAACATATGGAATGAACACAACTAGACAACACAGCCCAGAAAAAAAAAAACAAACAAAAAAAACCCGAGCAAACAGAGCTGATGAAATAGTGCCTGCCATGGGAGAGAGACACAAAATATGCATATACAGAGATGAGTCTGCAAAGCAATATAGTTGTAAAAAGCGCAATACAGAAATTACATCAGATCCATTATGTCACGGAGCAGGGGAACAGGTCTGTCCTGTGGTTCTGAATGGTGCATTCATTTCTAAATCTAGTAAATGGAAGAAATTCGGAAAGGAAAGTAATAAAAGGAAGAAGAAAGGAGAAAAAGAGGTAAAGCTTTGGAAAGATGAAACATATATTATGACTACAGGTGTAATGGGATTAAAAACCAAAATATTCAGGATATGTTTTCTAAGAGCATTTTCTATTAAGCTGCGTTATGGACTCATCAAACCAGTTATGGTTAAAGCCTCATTATTTCAGGCTTTTATAACTAGGACATCGAAAACCACTGCAAGCATATAGAGGACAACACAAAACAAATACGCCTTATATAGTTTGGTGGGAAATATCTACTTCCATGGATTTGCTCAGTGAACAGTATCAAGACAACAGTGTCATTGCCTTTCTGTTGGTGGACTTCTAGTCATTTTGGGCGGTAGGGCAGCCCCAAGATACTTACTTTCCCCTGGGACATCTTGCTGATTATCCTCTGGCTGCTGGGAAATTCCCATTTTTGATAAGATGAGTGTGGCACCGTCTCGGACCTTTGAAAATACAAGCACAGGGACGTTATTCAAAAGAAGTAAGCATGGCTGGACCTCTTAATAGCTAAACTGTTGTTTCTGTAATCTTTTGCAGGATATCTGGACCTATGACAAATGTTGCCCTTCAAATGCCTATTAGGCAACTGGGTCTGCAATTCAGAGCAGACTGCCACCCATCTCCTTTCATAAGAGATCACATCAGCACCTCCTCTGAGATTACTCAAAATGCTAGAAGCACTTCCAAGACATCCGTGGCTCATCAATCCAGTGTGAGGGCCCTTTGTGCAAACATGGATTTTATCGTGAAGAATCAGAGCTGTCTCTTTCTGAGAGAAAACTAACTTCTAGCTTTCCTAACCAGGATATCTGTTTTTAGAAAGGGATGAATAGAATAAAGAGGCAAGGTAAGTGGATTGCATGTGTTTGGTAGTATGCACAATATGAAACTTAAAACAGACGGTACAGAAACATCAACATCTGCTCTCCTGACTGCGTTGCTGAGCAAACCAGACCAACCCAAAATCTATTTAGCAGCAGAGCAAGGACAAAGATAATTCTCAGGGGTAGGAAGTGGCAGAGGAAAGAAAAGAAGAGATGAATATGAGACCCAACAAAGGCATAGGGAGCTTTTGAATGTTGAAAGGAGAATTTGGATTTGGACACTGCAACAATGATGAAACCAAAGTGCCTGCATTTAGGTAATATGTTTTTGGTAAGATGTTTATGCAATATGTCCAGACCTAGCCTTTCATGCTCCCCAAGTTGTTACTGCCTAGACCCAGAGCTAGTTTTTCATTTGATTCCTTATGTACCACAGAAGTTTTTCTACAAACAAATAGAGATTTTATTTATTACTAAAGAACAGTTAACAGATGTGAACAACTGCTCTGAAACACCTCCTTACATTATAATGCATCAGTGTGTTGATACGTTTCCATCTGCCATCTTTTTGGGATGTTAAATCCAAGTCTGAGAGGATCTGTGCAGTCGAACCTGGACGCCACTCTAAGGAGCAATTAAAATGAGAAAAAAAAACACAGTTTTAACCGTGTGCAAAAATAACTACTCCAAGAATGTTTCAATTTAGAGAACCACTGACGCATTGTGGAACATTAAAAGTAATTTGGCACATGCCACAATGTGTGTTATTTATTGCTTTGGCCTTCATTACAGAAGCTTGCACAAACTATTCCCAGCCACGTACATGACTTCAGATCATTTTCCATGGAAAGTTAAATTCCTTTGCATAGAATACTACAAATACATACAATTAGAACATGCTACCAGACCAAAATATAGGAGTAGAATTTTCTGTGGATTGGAAAAGGCATTCTTAAGTAATTTACTAAGATTTTCTGAAGAGCAAAAATTGCATTATCTACTTTCAGGTTAAGGCAGTAATGAGGATATTGCAAAACTACTTAAATAGAGCTTCTATTATGAGATTATTAGGCCTTTTAAGTTACATCACTTTTTTTTTTTTTTTTTTTTTTTTTCTTTTTTTTCTTCTCCAGAAGAGAAAAGCAATTCTAAAAGCCTTCAAGGAGGATGAGTTTCAGAGGCTGGGTGGCTCATCATCTCCTAAAAGTGCAACTCCTCTAACTTATAATTTTTTTGAACAATCATTAGAAAAGCAAGTCAAAATCAGTACCAGTTTCTGAAATTGCATCATTACTTCTCCATCAGTTAATTGTCCATGCTGTCATTATCACATTAATTAGTACCTGAAATACTGATTCTGTCAGACATGAATACATTTGTGCTAACAGTCATTAACAGGCTCTTTGCACACTAATGACAGTAGACCAAAACTTTAAGAATTGGGAAAAAGAACTCTATAGGGAAGCATTAATTTTTAATGCATATTAAGACTGTGGAAAAATGCTCTGTATTTGCATCCAGCTAAATGTGAATTCAGCTCCCCCCCTCCTTTTTTTTTTCCTCCAATGTTGCTTCTGTAGAAATTTTTGGCAACGGGAAAAGTCAAAATTACAAAACACATTTCACCTACTCAATATAGGATCACTAGCTACCTACCAAGAGCTACACTTTCAGCTTTTGGCCACTGAGAACATGGCAGATTTCGATAGACTTGGTCTATTATCTTTTCCTTCACTTGCGTTATGGTATCACAGTTAAGCACTTTCACAGGTGTGGAATCAGTTCCTCCATCTTGTACATACACATTTACTGTCTGTAAAAGAAAGAATATATATGGTTAATAAGACAAACCAGTGCTTGAATTACCTCTAAATCTAGTTTTCTGGATAATTTAAATGCAAACCATATTTAGAATTCATTGTGCAATGATTATTGCACAGCAGCACGTATTTACAATGCGACTGTGGATTCCTTGAGAGATCCTTCACTGTTACGCAGCCAACCAGCTCTTTTAATTCCAGTTAATTCTTCCCATTATGACTAAATAGAAAAGCTGTAGAATAGATTTGCTTATGTCTAATATGATACTATTACTGAGTCTTGGTAATTTATTAAAATTTAAAACAAAGGGGAGGCAAAAGTACAAAGCAGCAGGACCATTTCTCTTGCAGCCTGATAACTTGGGACACAGCAAAGCACAAGTCATACAGTGCCTAAATTTAATGAGTTACCAATAATCACTTGAGCTGCACTTTTCTGAGCTCCTAGAATACTGTAGCTGAACAATTTGTTCTTCCTTTACTCTATCTTTGTAGTTCTGGTTTTACTTCTCATTGAGCAGACTGACTGTACATATGGTGATTTAACATGGCTCAACTGATGAGTAGTGACTTGCCCATGTCCTGTAACTTTATCTCCAGTGACCAGCTGTTCATTAAGCATGTATTAGTATACCTAAGTAGTTTATGTTAGTTCTAAAATACTACTGATTTTTTTTTTTTTTTTTGATGTTAATAAACCCCCCAAAACCCTGCAGTTTGCTAAATCTAGGGGGATTTTTTTATAAGTAGCTTCCTTAGATAGGTCAATTTCAACACAGACAAAAGCAAATGAGAAAATGATGGGCAATAAATCTTCATGGGAGGAAAGAGCACCCATAACAAACAGATACTGTAAAAAGCCTCTTTCCTTCACTAGCTGAATAAGTACAACACCATGCCTTTGTGGATCTTTTGCTAGTCGGGTGGCTTTGGAGGCCAGGCATGTCACAAGATCAGCCAGTGATCCTAAGCATCTGAGCTCTCTAATATGGTCCTGCCAAGCATGATACCTAAATTCATCATGTCAAACCTCAGAAACGAACCTGCATGGTTGGTATTTTTAAACAGTGAAGAAAAACTATGCCATACGGCAGTGAAATTAAACATGATTGCACTGTCCCTTGACAGAACTCTCAAACTAATCATGAGATTTCACCTTCCTTTTCCTATTAGCTTTATGGTAATTAGACATGATTTTGTTGCTGGTTCAGTATGCAGCATGTCAGTGTAACCAGTGATGCAAAACAGACTCAGCTTTTAAATAAGAACAATTAGAGCGCAGACAACTGCTCTGTATCGTACTCTCCCACCACGTCTCACTTTCCTGCAGAAGTGAACTAATTAACTCATGCTTTAACCGACCTTAGTGCACGAGTGCTCCCTAACTGCTCACAGTTACCACAACATCATCAAAGATCCCAATAACTTAAAGCAATATTATTCCACTTCATATTTTTATGTAATACATTTATCTGTATATGTCTCATCATCTTACATGCATGCACACAGACAATTGTTTCATGTGATATTTGTGAATCTGGAACAAATACTGCTACTGTACAATGTTATAATGTCTAATATCTAAGCAGCATGCTTGTTCTGCCCACATCTGACTACATGCACTACTTTTGTACTGCGTTCAATTAGCTTAATTTTATACATCTTTTTTTTTTTTTTTAAATGAAAAGAAACAGACTGAAGAGAGAATTATTGCCATGAAGCCTTACATGATGCACAGTGCAAATACACTTTTTCACCATGCACAAGAGAAAATGCACACAGCATTTACCAGTCAGTGTGGCTCTATGGGTGGTACTTTCAGCTCAGATGATAACTCAGCTAATTCCCAAAATATCAACTGAATTTAAAATATTTATTCTTGGTCAGTACACACTTTTCCTGCAGGCAGTCTAGGCAATTGTTGAGTGATTCAGTGAGTGAAAGTCCTACAGCAATCTCCTCACATCAGCCCTCCCTTCAGCATCCCTTCTGAATACAAAAAATACTGATTTTTTTTTTTTTTACCAGGACTTAAGAAAACTTTTTATTAAATATCACTTTCAACACTGCAGATATGTCACTGCATTTTTCTCAGCTGGAGACGAACACAAATGACTACTATCATTCCAATAAAAAAGGAATCAGAGAGGAAAAAAAAAATCTTGTTATTTCAAGGACGGTCCATGTCTTGGATAATCATTGTATTTTGGATATTCACTGTATCCTGAAGAGAATCAGCAAGACTGTCAGGAGGAGCAAAACTAGAATTTACAATACCTAAACTGCTAAAAAGTAGGGTGTTACAACTTTTTAAAAAGACAATGAATCCCAAGTTCTAGAGTTTGGTTGAAAAAAAAATGGTGCAAATCCATGCCAGTGAACAGAATTAAGCCAAAGCAGAATTTGTAACAGAGAGAACTGGAGATCAGATTCTGAGGTGGTAGATCTCTGACGGGGAAGAGGCAGGGATGTCCACGACTCAGTGTATGGAATTTAAACTTCTAATGGGGATATAAACCTCCTTCCAGTTTGGTTGCTCACTGTCAGAAGAGTTTGGCTCACCAACAAACAAGTGCAGAAATAGTTTCATAAGGTGTTTTGGATATTGCAGAGCCATGTTACAGATCTGGAGAAGTGCTCATTCTGATATACTAATAAAATGAACTCTAAAATGACATTGGAAATACTGAGAAGTAGAAATATCAAGGGAGAGACAGCCTGAAGTCCAAGCACAATGTTAGTGAAATAATTTTACAAAAATCAATTAATTTAGATGGGAAAAGTGAAAAAGGCAAACACCCCAAACGCTCTTCGGGTAAACCTTGAAAATTATGGAAGGGATTTACTGGATTGGATTCAATGGTGGCAGGACTGGGATTTAATGCTTAGAAGATAATTTACAGCTTTATTTTTGTTCTTGAAGACTTGTTTTGATCAGACTGTCTACAGTATTGTCCATGATAAGAACTTCTATGCAGATCATAGTGGTCCAGAAAGTATATACAGACTTAACACTACAGGTCTTAATTTAAATAGAAAAAACATTTTATAACATAATAATCATGCACTGCTTACCAACTGTGTATACTCTACATCATCTCCCAGTAAGCCTGTGTCATTCAGTGTATACTTGGCTTTCTTTAGTACAGCATCCACTGGACCTTTTTCTACCTGGTGTTTGATGGCCTTGAACAATTTATAAAGAGGCTCCCCAGCATTGTCCTGTTAAAGGAAATAAAATAAAATAAAATCAAAAACAAAAGATACACTCAATTCAGAATGTTTAGGTATTATTGATAAAAAAACCCCACAGGCAACAGACTTCAACTCTTACCTTGAGGTACTGATATAAACAAATTGACATCCAGTTAGACAACATTCTCTCAACAACTGTTTCAGATCTAAAAAAAAAGCAACAATGCCAAGTATGTTAGGGGTACTTAATCACAAAGTTTTAAAGAAAAACATTGCTTGAAATATAATATTTTTACATGCTTAACTGCATGCACTTTCCTAATGCAATGATTTCCCTGTAGAGTCTTGAGAGCATGTACTTGCTTTATGATAAGTGCTTTGTATTGCTCATCATTCCTGGGTACCTTCAGCTCATTACTGAAAAGCACACAGCCTTTATGCAAAATCTTAAATTGTGTCTATGCTGTAAGAACAAGAGCTAAAAAATTAACCCAATTGTGCACATACTGGGAAAATAACCCTACAGATTACAAAGCTACAACATATGCAGAGCAAGGCCTTTTGTAATGTATTTGAGATAACAAGAGGGTTAAAAACATTAGAGCAAGCCTTCATTGAATACAAAATGAAAGCTGATTATGTGTGCTCATTACAGAGATGATGTGTGGTATAAATGCTAGATAATTTGGAATAAAATTAGATTAAAAAGTAAATGAAATGTTCGTTATTGTATTTTGAGGTAAGGTAGATGCTTTAGTAATCTACGCTACAGTAATTTGAATAAGGAAATCTGTTGCCAACAGTCCTGCTTCTGCCTTCTACAGCTGTTTCTGGTAGACTTGTTTTCCAAATATCCTTGGGTCAGGGTATTTTTGACTTCCACAGATGGTGTTTTAATATAGTCATGTTGCAAAAGAAATACATTTGCAGAAAAACAGAGAACTACAGAAAAATATAACAATCATTCAAACCTTCTTAGCATCAACTTTGGGTTTTTGGCCACCACATACTGCTCCATCAGTTCTAAGAACAGAGTCCTCATGATGTCAGTATAGTATTCTAGTTTTCCATGTAAAGCAACTGTCAGTAAAGATGCAAAATACACTTTAGCTCGAGCGGAGAACTCCCTTTGGTTTTCCAGCGTGTGAATAAACTGAAACAGAAATCAAATACAAAATCAAGTCAGATAGCATGTTTCTGGAGATCCTCAATGCTTGTCTGCATTAAGGAGATGAGGGATATTATTTTAACGTTAATCTCCTAAGCACAGCATGGAAAAGTTTTCAGAAGTTTGAAAAAACTACTTGTAAGAAAACGTTACCTATAATTTGGTTTTAGATACATACACTGTCTACCGGACTAACCCAAGGAATGCTAATATATTTTAACCAAATCCTTAAAAGCTATGCTTTAATTAAAAAAAAAAAAAAAAGAAAAAAAAAAAGATGAAAGGTGTATTCTATGACAATTTTTTTAAAAAGGAAAATCAACTTTCCTCTCCCCCAAATTCCCAGTCCTTTCACATCATATTACAAAGACACTAATCTAAGTAAGTACACCTGGGAACGCACTCTCTTCTGCCAGAAACTGTAATACTACCATTAACTAACTCAGCACTGGAGCCTCATTTAAAAAGGAGAAGAAGTTAGAAGCCTAAATCTATATTTAGGTGTCTGACAATCAGCTCATTTTCCGACAGTGAGCAATTAGGTGTCTTTTCGGAGGAGCTGAGCACTCATCAATCATCTTCATGAATAGACCTTTTTTTTTTTTCTGGTCGGAGGAGACTGTGTCTTGTACTCTCTGGGTTAGAAATCCAGCTGACAGCTTGTGGCAGGTAACTGGTGACCACAGCACCCAGCTGAACCAGGAGGGAATCAGCATTCCCCATGCCATATTTCTTAAAAGGCTAAAACAGACTACTTCATAACAGTAGTTTTTATGGCAGATCAGGTAATATCTGTTTTCCTACAACTGCTGTCATGCTGACCAAGTCTGTGCGATATGACTTGGCTGGCTCTACAGAAATCTTATCTTCCCTGTAACCCCAGGGAGCTCTGGCTGTGATGCAACAGATTTTCCATCAGCTACTTTGGAACCTGAAATTTATGAAAATCACTTATTTTTGCTAACTTTGGTTCACTTGTGCTTGCAAACATACTGTGTTGCTCATAAAGGTATGCCCAGCTAAAAGACAAGGATAATCTGCTTCAATACTCACATTAATGAGAAATGATTTGCTATTGAGGAGGTTGGAGAACTGGTTCAAAGCCTGCTCCACAGTCTGCCGCCGAGCCTCTGGAATATCCAGATTCCCTGTAATCATCACATCTTTCTCTCCATCTTTGGAGGGCAAGAAGAAGACTCTGTCTGTGTATGTTTTGTAGTCTAGTACTGGGATTCCAGCTTCATTTACATCACTTGTATGGTCTTCCATCTCTATCATTAGATCTAGAATACAGTTTAAGAGTTGAATGAAAAAAAAAAATGTAGCTTTTTTTTTTTTTTTTTTTTTTTTTCCAGGTAGCATGATCCCTTTGGGTATCTTGTGATGTAGAAAAAGTAACAAAACGCTGAAAACTCTATCTCATCTCACATTTTATCTTGCTATTTTTTCCTATTATCCTGTTAACTATGACCACAGCTAATCCTCTGGTGACATGCTCATAACTGTCTTTAGCACAGATGGTTTCCTTGTTTATGTCTATCGAAGGAAAACCTTAATGGATGTCTGAGTTCATACATACGAACACAGAATTGTAGCAAAGAGCAAAAAAATAGACACAGCAATACAGTTTTTTTTTTTTTTTCAATATATATTCTATTCTCTCTGAGTCCATGTAAAAATAAAAGTTCTTTTTAAAAACACCTAGCAATCCAGGAAAATAAAGTTTAAAGTGTAAAGCCCACTAATTTAATTAGAAGGAAGGGGATGGAAGGAAGGAAGAAGGTTAAATGGCTTGTTGAAATTGATGGAAACATTTCTGTGGGACTCAAAAGCTTTGAATTTCTTAAAAGGGACAACAATTAGGGAATCATCTTTCGGAGCAGCTATTTCAGCTGAAGGCTTTCCAATTACTCAGTATTACTGATTGACTAGAATACCACATTAATTAGTATAGTGACCCAGTGTCTCTGAAAGTTTATTGCTCATATGCATTCATTTACCCCTTTACTTCGTAACAGCAAGCAAAGCTAAGAGACTAAGTGTCTTGTGGTTTCCAGCTTTGTGGTATTTGTACTTCCTCCTGATGGCCCTTTCCATAGCTATTATTGGTCCTATGTATTTCAGACTGTCTGCACTTTGTGCTGTTGTCATTACAGTTTTACAGCATGGATCCAGAATGTGTTTTGACTTCAGTGTTTCATTTAACTGTCAGCCAAGACAGATGCAGTTTGGGAACTGGATTACTCCTTGGATGTGCCTTCTGCTTCCCCAGCCTTTGTGCTTGGTGGAGCAGAAAGGAAACCTTCAATCCAGCAAACATCAGGAGTCCGTAGCATCCCCAAGGAGTGTCAGCAAGAGAAGGGCACCTTCTTTCAGAAATGGTTATGAAGTTGCACACATGAGGTGATGGAGGGAGGGCTGTTAACCTTGCTTGACCCTCTCACATTTCAAAATTCAGTTTGAAATGAAACGTCTCTAGGAACAGTTTTTGGTTCAAAGATTTGTTTCTGGGTTGTGTCCAGAACCTGGAAGGAGTTGGCCTTCCACAGAAAGAAATGACACAAGGAAAGAACATTCTGTCCCAGAAGTTCCCTGAAATCAAGACTTGGAGAGGTTTCCAGCATGACAGAAGTCTTTGAGATACCCTGAGCTCCTAAAATTAATTTCAAACTCTAACCTCAAATTGGTGTTTAATTCAATCCTGCTATTTAGCCACTGCCATCATGAAATAATCTTTCTCTCTTTAGAACTAAAACTTACGTATTTTTTTTAGTTGGGATAATTTCAACATGACCCAACAGCAAGCATAATTCAGATAATGAGATGACATTTCATGGTAATCATTTAAGCCAATATTTGCAATGTTTGCATTCAGATGGTTAATTGAAGTATTGCAATGAGTGGTTCAACATGTAGAAATGCTGAGCCTTCACACCTCCTGCTGCCTTCCCAGGGATGTTGCTACTACATTTACATGGAACAATTAGCTAGCTCCTCAAGTCAAGCTTAAGGTATTTCCGTGATGAACTGTGCAACATCCTAGTTCTTTCATGCATGTTTGCCAAATTATCCCTTTGTAGGCTGATTGCTGCAAATACATTTTGCAGCTCTGAAAATCATTTTTAATGTACATACTTGGCATATACAGCCATTGTGTTAAATACTAAGTGCACAATAAGTCATTACAAACCTTTCTTTCCTCCATGTCAATGGCCACTATAAATAACCCCAATCTCAACTAATTTACATTTCCCAGTTGCCAACTCTGTGCTCCCTTTAGACTGAAACTGTCCATTTCCTTTAACAAACTCAACTCCCTATTTTACTTTATGACTTTCATATATAATAGCAAACTATGTGCTGTATGGCAATGCATGTAATCAAGACTACCAAGATCGACTTCTAAGTATTTGTTCTCAGGAGCCAGTTTTAGCAAGATAGCACCATTGCTTTTCTGATTGCTCAAGAGGACTCACAGCAGTAAAATATATGTCATACCTGTGAATTCCTTCTTGCAGCGGTCTCTGACACTCTCTTCCAGGCCTTCAAGTTGTGCTTTAATTTTTTCATACTCTCGTTCTGCCTGTTGGCTCTTGCGTCTTTATGGAATAGAAATAAGATTTTAAAGTTACAAACTGTAAAAGCAAATCATTTGCAGCACCTTTGAATGGGGAGCCAAGAGGATGATTGGAGGACTATTTCTGTTTGGATTTCCTTTTGAACACTAGCGGCAGAGAGAGAATGGAGGAGAAAAGCAACGGCAGCCCAAATCTTCATTTAGTTCCAAACAACCTGGTACCACCATGGGCCTGCTACTTTAAAACACACTAGGGCAGAGATTTGACATCAAATAAGCGGTAGTTACAAATGCTTGCGGTCACATATTGACTACAGAAACTTAATTTGTATGTACTGAACAGGGACTACTTGCAGCATGTTCTGCAGCAGCTAGAGATCATCATAGCGCATCAAGGAGGCTGCAGGACATCCGTGAGAATGTCAGTGCTGCTTAGCACTTCAGCAGTGCTTTGGTTGCATTGATACACACCACCAGAGTGAAATCCACCCCCTCCTAAGGTCTGTGTATGAGGCCCATTTATTACTAACCTCGAAATTGGGCTAAGTGGGTCTTAAAAGAAGTACTGACATTGTTCTGGCCCTTTGTGAAGTGTGAATTTCATCATTAATCATGAAATTTGTTGTGTGGGTAACACTTATCTCAGCTGGAAAGACCCAAATGACCACTTAGCCAAATCCATCCAGCTCTGATCTATAGTACTGAGTGAGGCAGCATAAACGCTGAAAGATATGTATGCAGAACAAGTTATCTCCTTCGTGAGAGGCACTTTAGTTGCCATTTCAGGAATGCTATCTGTGCAACTCAGTCTGCAATTGTGCACTAGGCAAGCCTGGGACCAACTGTTGTGCTGATGTATAAAGGACAGACTGGGCTGACTGACACCAAGGAATTTGGTGTGTGTGAGAGGAATAAATTGGTGCTCATACATATCGCCAGCTGTAGCTGCTTCTCTTAACCCTACAGCTCTTAAAAAATTATAAAGATAATTTTTTTGTAGGCTGAGCTCAAAACAATCAGGTATTACCTTCAAAGCCATAGAACAGCAAAAAGACCTAATTAAAGGAACTTCTTACCTGTAACAGATGATAGAAATGACGATGATTGCTATCATAGGAATAAGTACTAGTGGCAGAATAAGATTCAGTGGGATGTCGCTCACACGTGTATCATATTCCACCCTTCCAAGGATCCATTCTCGGAGTCCAAATTTCACCTAATTAGATAAACACACATTTGCCTCAGAAACTGCAAATGGACAATGGTTCACTTCTCAATTGTGCTCTAAATTCTTTGTAATTCTTACTAAGTGAATTTCTATCTCAATCTGCCAAACAAAGGAAACATTTCTGAATATTTTATACTGAATTTAGGTCACTAGCACTTTATTCTATGAAAAAAATTTACTTTGCTTTGCAGAGGAAGACAAATCCCCAGTCTGCCTAGCTACAATTTTACATTCCTATGTAATGAAGGTACAGCTTGGCAGCTTGGGAACACTCTTTATGTGTGATGTCTTCTAGACAGCAGGCAGAAGCTGGAGAAAGAAAGAATTGCAAGGAGTTTTTACGGTACTATAACAACTTTAGAGAAAGAATTATTTTAATTAAGAAGCAATTGTAGCAGCGTTACTTAAACATGATACTATAATATATTGAAAGGGTAACCTACAATGAATTCAGGAAGGTTATTGATCATATCTCTCTTCTGCCTTTTCTTTGGTTGTGGCTGTACTTCAGGTGGCTCACAATACAAGTCCGTTTCAGTCAGCGTTTTTATGTTGCAAGGCTCATCACCTACAAAAGCCTGGGCCTCGTCTATCGTCATGGCTTTGTTCAGGTTACTGCCCTAGACAGAAAATACAAGGCTAAGTTATTATGGCAAAGTCTTGGGAAACAAGAAGTTCTGAGTTGCTAATTTCCATTTAGATCATGCTGAGCAGCAGATGTGATTTGAACTGCAGTGTACAAAAGAGTGGAGCAGAGGGGAATTATGCAATTCCTTCTCCTTTCCTTCTTGGTGCAATAAGGAAAAGTTCCATTCAATCCTTGGAAGCTCTCTGGGAGAGGGCATTTCCAAATGCCAGACTCAGCAGTAGGGGGAGCAGGAGGGGGTATCCTGGGGAAACCCGAAGTACAGCAAAAAAGAGCAAAATTCTCTGAGAAGGGGAAGGAAAGGGGAGCTGACGATATTCATCATCCAGCAGAGGTAAGGGACTCTAGAAAGCATTCCTGGTATGCTACCAAGCAGATGTTCATCATACGTTAGGGTTTGTGAAAGAAAAGAAAAATCCCATACACGCTTCAAGGACAAAATGAGCAACCACCATCTCTCGGTTGATTTACCTTTGCATTTATGAGTTTGTTGACTTGCTTTTTGATGCCATCTGTGAAATTTTCAAAGGTTGGGTCTGCAACGTATGCAAAGGAGTGGCTCTCATTTTTTACAACCAATTGATAATGATCCATTAGAATAATGGTGGTAATGTTGTAGTTTTCTGGATCTTCCAATATTGGTGGGGAAGAAAAAATCACTGTGGTTTCATTAAGTCTTGTAACAGATCTTCCATCAAACTATAAGAAATGAGACAAGAAGAATGTGCATGTATTAGAGTTTGGTTCCTGTACCTAACTGTTGATAACTTTACATTGTAGAATAAAAAGACTGGAGTTGTATCCTCCATACAGCAAAAATGAGGTACAGTATGAGGTACTTGCTGAAAAGAAAAAAAAAAAATGTTGACGGGAACAATTTATTGGTTAATTATATTCTAGCAGCTGCCCCCTGAAAAAAACTTAGCTCACTTTCCATTGCCTCCAAATTCTGTGACTCTGGACTACACTGGGCTGATATCATTAAATTGCTCTAGGATTAAGAAGTTAATGTGGTAGCCTTAATCAAGACCATCTTCTGTACTATTACATTTCTCACATAGATTCTTCTCTACTGACATTGTAGAATACCTTTCTGAAATTCAAGACAATTATCAAGTGAATTTCTGAAAAAAAAAATTGCCAGTTGTAAATCACCTACACAAGGTAACAACTCTGTTGACCTGTCCCCCACCTCACTCACAATTACACAAATGTTCTTATGCTAGAAACTCCTTCAGCCATTCAGTAATACCAACCACAGCCAACAACACTAATATGAACCCTTAAAACTTCTATCACCACCTGAGTTTCTCACTTTGAGAAATCAAATGCAATTTGGTAGCTTCCCTACATTTTTGATACTGCTACATAAATGGAAGCAAAACAAAAGATTAGGAAAGAGTTTATAGTCTTAACCAAGAGTATGTACTATATATAAAGCAGATTTAGGCTAACATGTTGAATTGATGCTAAGCATACAAGAGGAGAGGGGGTAAGATATGTTGATGAATAATGTCAAGAATGCTAAACAGAGTTTAAGATAGTCCTGGGGTTTAAGGTAAGCAAGATAATCACATTTTGCAGTTTACAGCCTGTGAAATGTAGGCGGTTTTACTCTTCACATTCTTAAAAGAGAATGTTGCGATGGACCCAAATCCAGCTGGTATATATAAGTTGAATCACGCATATAATACAAGAAATGTACATTAACAACTCTATATGATAATAATTATTTTTGAGATTGACCACACAACAGCCTTAAATTGAAAAGCTAGCTTTAAAAAAAAGCCTTAAAACATGTTCTTGCAGGAAGATTGCTTTTAAGTTCTCAATCTTTGCATTAAATTACAATCTTCATTAGAAGAGTGGAAAATTGAGACCAATTGGTAATGTCAGTTCTTAGCATTACATGCAAGAAGTGTGTTTTTCTTTTAATCTTTATTTATTTTGCACATCTTTTTTTGGGATCATGCTGTAAGTGGAATGTGCTTGAAGCAAGAAAGAAATGTAGAAGACTGTTCGTTGAGGTGTGAGAAAATAAAAGACACTGTGCAAAGCCAAGTACTCAACGTTGTCTGGATTTAGGTCCTGTTTCAGACAAATTGCTAAACTTTGCAGGGGAGGAGAAGGAGAAAGACAAAGAAAAATTATACCACTTTCAAATTCTCAAATATATCCAGTTTACCATTTAAAGTTTAGTTCTTCAATGCTTAATATTGAATGAAAATAATTTTGAAGCAGAAGGTTACGAGGTGCAAGTAAATGTAAGTCAGGATGGCAGGAGTAGGCTGCTCCTCTTACACGGAGACCCAGAAGCCTGTTCAAATCTCATTCCACCTCAATCCCAGTGAATTCAGGTGGGGAAACTCTTCATTTCATTTTTTGAATAGATTATATGTTATGCATCCAGTGTGATGCCTTTTTTTGGGTAAAAAAAGAAAATTACCCTTTTGAGACTTGCTTTCCCTGCTTCTGGACGCTCTGCATACACCACCAGTGAAAAACTCTGGATGAGCTCAAACCCAGTTCCAGTTACTGTAATATTTCTCCCTCCACTGAAAGGCAAAATTAAAAAAATAAGTCAATTCATTGGCAAGATACTACAGCCATATACTTTATCCTGCACGCTACTACTTCTACTGAAAACAGTTACATAATGCCTATAGGACACTTAGATATCCTACACAAATATTTTCTGTTAAAGTTATCAGTGATGACAGTATTTAAAAGCAGCAATGTCTACTTCATATTAGTCTTAAAATAGCAGAATAAGGAAGTGCAAATCACTGCCAGTATCTGTGGCTTTTCATTGATGCTTATTTTTATGTGCTTTACTTCTCCAATGTTTTTGTTAAAATCAGTCCACCTAGCATTCACACTGACAAAGGTGAGCATATTTTCCACAGATCTGTAGGGACCTTGTTTCTCTATTCCCTTTCATTTCCAACATATTGTTTAAAAGAGAATGCATTCATGTAAGAAAAAGAATGCATGTAAGTGGCCAGTGGGAATTGAAGTCATCTAAGTAACATAGATGATAGCTGTCCTCAAAGCAATCCATTATAATAAGGTTCAGTTTATAAAGAGGAAACAAACAAACAAACAAACAAAAATCCCCAGTGTTTTAAATATCCTGGAGTAAATCACTAGTGATCTACCAAAAAAACTGCACGCTCCCAAACAACCCAAGCAAAAAACAAATGCAAGCATTAAAAACAAATCATATTTTACATAAATGATTACTCCATATTCAAGAAGGCAAGTACCAATTCCTCTAAGAGAAGTCACAGTCAATTTTATTTTTATCATCCTATTTTTATGGTCATGATCTTACACTTCTTTTTGCTGAAAGAGGGTGGAAGCATCTTAACCACTCTCTGCCAACTGCACCCACTAGGTGGAATGATCATAGTATTGGGGAACAACAGAGACCAGCATGGGGAAAGTTAACAAGCTTGTCCCTGAACCAGTCACAGAATTACTCTCAGAACCAGAGGTATGACAAAAGGACATTTATACAGATGATTTGCCGTTTTGCTACAAGTAGACGAGTGGCATACATTTCTTTGGTTTCACAATTGATACTATGTGAGCATTTTTCCAGAAGGAATGCTGTTTCGAACGAACAGCTGCCAGCTGGGTTGTTAAGTGAGTGCCACTGTAGGAGAAACAACTCCTTTTAAGAGACTTACTGATCCCTGATCTAAAATTCCTAAATATACTTTTTTTCCTCATGGGACAAAAAGATGATAAGCCATAGCTTTCCGCTGTTTACAGCTTACTTATTAAAAGCTGACCAGAAGATCTCCTATAAATGTTTTGGCTAGAAACCTGTTATATCACTTTCAGATGATGATCTTTCCTTTAGAGGGGAAGGATTTGTACATAATGCAAAGGTCATGTTTTTTGACATCATGCCAAAACACTTCAAATCTTTCTTTGAGACATGCTTATTTAAAAGAAGCTCATTACCTTTATTAGTTTCAGTATATAGCTTTGAAATGGCAATTAAAATTTGGAGGTAAACAGAATACTTTCAACATCAGCTGTGGTTAAGAAAGTTCACAAACTCTTATGTATCTAAATTTGAGCATGGGTAGAGTATGGCAATTTTTATATTGAACAGTTGTATATAGAGGAAAAGCTATAACCTATTTTGACCCAATTGTAAATGAAGCTATGAGAAACATTTCATTACCTGCTGAAGCTATTTACTGGCAGGAACTTGGTGACGGTAGGATTCTCACTGTATGAAAATTGCCCTGGCACATTAATTACTGTTTCCCCGTAGAGCAATGTGACTTTAACTGCTTCAACTTTGCTATTACGTCCTGTAACGCAAACGATCTCATCTCCAAAGTCAGTGCTAGATTGGAGAAGAAAAAGAAAAGGAAACATATTCAGTTGCTAACCTTACTCTGATTTGTATTTGTTACTGCAGTACCCCATAACAAAAACAAATAAACAAACAGAAAAGAACTCTGAGCTCTATTTTCCGCTCTGCACTGAATAATTACTTGAGGAGACAACACTTTCTGTAGATCATTTAGAGCCTTTAACAGGATATGAAAAAGAATAGTGTACAGACACAAGAACAATGCGATGTCAGCACACTTCAGCTCATACCACGTTTGGGGGGAGAATAGGGCAGCAGTTAATAAAGGGAACAAGAAGTGAGAGAAACAATTCAAGGGGCACCAGAGGATTAAAATTTTGTATGGAACCACTCAGGAGATGTTGAGTGAGAGCATGGCTGGATTTGGAGCAGCTGGTCACGTGGAGAGAGCTGAAACTGGAAAAATTATTTGGATAATTGAGTCCTCCGACTTTGGTAATTTTTGTTGCTGCTTCTTCCAGCTGAAGCCTTTCAGTGAGTTTCTGTTTGAACATTATGGGCAGAGCCACATTGCATGGCATGAGTCTCTATGAGATAGACAACAGATCTGTATAATTTCTAAAGGCCAGAAAAGACTGGTACTTTGTTAGGGTACAACTCTATACTGGTAGTTACTCAGGGTACGTACACATTGCAAGGCTGGCTACCGACTAAAACACGAACATCCTTCTTGGAACCAGTTTCCAGGTTGGTACCGGTGATGGTAAGTGTGGTTCCACCTGCCTGTGGACCACTTTCAGGTCTTATTCCAGACGGATGAGGTTCCTGCAAAGAGGAGATGATGAAAACTAATTTAGAAAATTAAAATAAAAAATTTATACCAGTATTAATTAGTATAATAGATAATAGTACTTTAATATCATTACCCAAAAGGTAATAAATTAAAATAATGAAGGACAAGTCTTCTCAAATAAAACAAAGTCTTTCATTATTCATAGTGAGTAAAGGAAGAAGTAATGTGATATGAATGTACACATTTTTTCCATACTGTACTTTGAGGCTTTATATGGATTTAAATTACCTACTGGCAAGATGCAGAGTTAGCTGCCATTAAGTTTGTGCGAGCTTCCTGTTGGACTTCCTGTTCTCATACTTATTTTAAGATTTCTCTCTTCCTTATAGTGGAGTCTACTTTCACCCTTCCTTGCCCCTTCCTACATTCTGTGTCAGTGACAGGAGAGACAGAGGGAGTTTTTCAGAATTGGTACTGAACAGAAAGAATATTAAGGTCCCATTTATCTCATAAGATTCTTAATTGCTGTAGAAGATTTTTATCCCTATCTTGAGCAATGAGCTTGCAGAGAAAAGAGATCAGAAAATACTAAACTTTTCTTTATACACCAAGAACGTTGGAGGGGATTTCCTAAAATCAATAAGAACAAGCAGATATATTTCAAATTGTCATGAAATTTGTCAGAAATTTATTTTTTTCTAGTGATTTCACTCCTTTTGTTCTCAATTCAGTCCTTGTTTCCATGACTGTATTACCCCAGATATGACAAATTCTGTAAATTAATAGTGAGGGCTTTTCATGAACAGTGCAATTTAATTACTCTATCGCTAAGTAGTCCCTACTCCCAGTTGAGAAAAGTGTTGCTATTCAGGACAACACTGCTGCTACTGAGTCAAGAGCATGAGTGAAGCCATGTAAGCCATGTGAAACCGATTGGCCTTGCGCCAACTAGCTCAAATGAGTGGACAATGATGGAGTCCAGCTTTGGGGCTATTGCATATGGGAACATACAGGCTGGTTGACAGTCAGCTGCTGAACATGAGCCATCAGTGTGCCCAGGTGGCCAAGGAGGCCAATGGCATCCTGGCCGGCATCAGAGTGTGGCCAGCAGGACTAGGGAATTGATTATCTCCTTGTATGTGACATCGGTGAGGCCGCCTATTGAGTACTGTTTGGTTTTGAGCCCCTCACTACAAGGATATTAAGGTGCCCTAGCATGCGCAGAGAAGACCAACAAAACTGGTGAGGGGACTAGGAACCAAAGAAGCAACTGAGGGAACTGGTGTTGTTTAGTCTGGAGAAAAGCAGGTTGAGGGAAGACCTCATCACTCTCTACAACTACCTGAAAGACACAAGGAAACAGTCTCAAGTTGAGCTGGGGTGCTGGAGGGCACCACAGAATCATCGAACCTAGATGATTCCATGATTCTATGAATAAAGCAAGGGCAAAGATGTTTGAGAACTTCCCTTACTGATTGGGGTTTACCTGATCACCATCATACTGTGATGATCTCCCACTCTAAGGAGGAAAGGCCATGTTCAGAAAGAGAGTTTGCCTGAATCATCACATAGCAAAAAGCTTTCTCCTATGTTATTTCTCTCATGCACAGACTGCTGTCTCTGTGTCAGCTAGCAGCTACAAAAACAATGGTTCTTGAATGGCAGGGAGAAGAGGGAATGATGTACTAGAGTTTGGTCGAAAGCTCAGTGAGCCATTGATGGGTTTCTAACAAGTAGCAGGAATTTGTAAAAAAGCATTCAGTTGACCTTGTGGTTACTTGATAAATTTGCTTTATTAAAGCACGGATATTACAGAAACACAGAGAACTTGTACTTGCTGTGCTTGTTTTATTCTTTCATGTCTGAGCAACTTCCCTCTGAAGGAATGCATCACGGTTCAGCACACTTCACAAATCCACAATGACAACTGTAATTTGCTCTCAAGTCATTGAGCTTTAGGAATATGCTTTAACACTAATTGGGTGTCAATTGCTTTTCTTCCCTGAGAGAAATCTGTTTGTAAACCCTTCACTCCTCAAGATGTACGATGCTACAGCACATGACTGCTCTCATGCACTAACCTTTGATTTCTTTTTAATTTAATACATCACTTGAGTTACAACATTTTATGTAAGGAATCGACTGAAAGTAATTTTTAAGCATAGTTTAAGCAAAAAGGCGCATTGATTCAATATAACAGAATTGACTGAAACTTACTTAGATCTACATAACTCTCTCTGTACATACTCTTCTTTTGATTTAATTGCCTGCTTATTTAACCTAAATTGAAATTGCACGAGGGTAAATAAAAGATTTCAGTGGGTCAGTTTTAAAAGTCACGCTTGAAGCTTAAATTAACACAAGTCTAGACCTGCACTTCACAAAAAAACGCATTTGTGCTTTTTTGAAACACAATATTGTTGATTAAAAAGATTACTAAGTTGCATTACTTACAAAAATTTACCAAATCCTTTAAGTTTAACCTTGGTAGATATAAAGAAAACCATACCTTTTGTTAACTCTAGATTAAATCTTGATTGCTACAAAGTGTTAAGAATATTGGACCATTTTATCATTACCAGTTAAAATCTACTGCAATGTTTCCAGAAGCAAGTGTTCCCCAAGAACCACTACAGGAGCTAATATGGACAAAATCTTTCTCCCTCAACCTCAGGAAAAAAAAATAAAAAGGAAAAAAAATATTAAAAGTTTGTAGCCTTTTCCCTAAATCCTACCTCTTAAAGTCAAGCCTTTAAGCAAAGACTTAGGAAGGAAAGGTAGAAGAAAAGATTTCTGAAGCACCATACCCTGCTCTCTGTAACCCTGTAATCTTGGGAAAAAAAAAAAAAAAGAAGAAAAGAAAGGAAGCTTGCTGAGAAGATTCTGCTAGGCAGCTGTATTCCTTTCTTTCAGCAAAAACGATAAATAATTACACCATTAAGCCTCAACTGGCATATCTGATCAGTACCTCTGGCAGAGCAAAAGCTGGTTCAGTTACTACCTATCAGTGAATACTGAGCAAGCCACAAACCTGAAGCAGAACCACTGAGAACCATTTTCTGTGTGGGACCTTTTATTGGCAGCCTGCATTTACCTCCCTGTGAACAGGGATATTGTATTCAGGTAAACAAACAGCAAAGTTATCTCTGAATAACACAACAGCAACAGGGAAGTAAAATAAATACCTGCTCTGTTTTGCCCCGATTTTTTTTTTTTTCTTAGCAAGACTCTGCCTGCTAAAAGTTAAAAAGTTAAATGAGGATGGTGCCAGGCTCTTTTCAGTGGTGCCTGGTGATGAGAAAAGACTCAATGGGAGCAAACTGAAGCAGAGGAGGTTCCTCCTGAACACCAGGAATTCCTCCTGTGCTGTGTGAGGGTGGTTGAGCGCTGGCAGAGGCTGTGGGGTTCCCTTCTTGCAGATCTTCAGAAGCTGCCTGGACATGGTCCTGGGCTGCCTGCTCCGGGTGGCCCTTCCTGAGCAGGGGGTTGGATGAGGTGGCCTCCAGAGGCCCCTGCCAGCCTCAGCCTTTCTGTGTCATTCTGTGAAAACTGAGCTATGCCAAAAAGGAGAATGTGCTATCCACACCTCGGCCCCCCTCCGTGACACAGGTGCAACATGGAGCCAGCACATCTCAGCCTTGCCTCAAGTTTAATGAAAACCTGAGGCTGAGAATCACTCCAGTAGCTGCTGCAGGTAGCAGCCAAGGAGGAGGTGGAATAGTTACATTTAACCCTTATTTTCTCTTTAATCACTGGTTTTGCAGCAATCTCTCAAAGGGCTATTTTAAAACAGCTTAACTCAAAGTATTCATATTTAACCTATTTAAAGTAATTTTGCAAATACCAAGAGCACTCCAGGGACCAAATAATGTGGACGCCTCATAAAGATGATCTAATAAGGAGAAGCTGAACTGGGCTCTGCATGCAGAGGAATTTTTCAGGATGACTACTGAAACAAAGCATCGTATAGTAACAGTTTGTTACCATAAACTTGTCAGAAAAATTATTTGATTAATTATTACTTGCTATTTTCTGTTTCTCAGTTTTTTTCCTTTCCCTTTCTCTTAAGGACCTTCCAGAAAAAATAAGCTTAAATAAATTACCAACAATTTTTAACAATTTTAATAACAACTTTATTGCACAACCGATGCACTATGAGCAAGCTTTAGTGCTCTCTTAAAATGTTCACGGATGGCACAAAGCACAAAGCTGCCTAGGCCCACCTGGTAGTCTCTCAGAGTACCAGTAAAGAAAAAAAATGGGTCATCTAAATGCTTAGCTGGAAAGTTATTTTCCATAAATGCAGTTAGGTAGACGGGACCAGCGGGAGAAGATATTTGCTGAATGTCACGATAAGTTCAAAAAGTACTCTCTGAACAGTGGAGCAAGCCTCTGAGAAGAATCGTGTTGCCTCAGGAGAAGGCAGCCCCTTCCCATGGGTGACATCACACTCACCCACAGGACAGAGAGGTCCAGACCTTTGTAAGCTGCTAGACTGGGTCTTAACCATACAAATTCCAGCAGAGCTGCAACAAACACACACTTCTACATTGCTGAACACAGCTCTGCATGAGATTGCTTCTCCTTGCAAGAGAAAATGAAGGGAAAAGGGTAAATCCTTCACTGCAAATGTTTGAGGGATAATAAAAATGCAGCTTTTAGAAAGATGCAGATAGCTCTAATTTGGGCTAAATCCCAAGCAATACTGAAAATTCAGCTGCTACAAACTGAACTGACAACCTCAGAACCTCAAGTGATGTGAGATCAGTGATACCACCTTTTCAAAATCCCCTCAGGGATTTCTTTTCTCCTGCTTTCTTCCCTTTTCTCATTTCAGTTCCTGAATCAGAAGTACTCCTGCCATCATTACAAATACCCCACTTCCATTTTCAGCCCTCTGCACCTCGGAACCTTTGTTCTCTCAGTCAGAACGTGCCCAGAGGACATCACACTTTCTGCAGCATCACACCACAGTGCACACTGAAATGATAATGTTAAGTAGAACATTTGATTATGTGTCCTATATGGAATT